TCTTTTTAAACAAATTTTTAACCAGAAATATTGTTGTAACAATGTAAACTCGATAAGAAGCGTTATGTTACATCTTGTACCTCGAAAAATAAAACATTGTAATCAGAAAAATAAAAAATACAAACGTTTTAATCTTGGCTAGTTTCTCATAATGAAAATAAATCTGTGTATCCTGTTACATTTGTAAATAATTTGTTGACAAATGTATCTAGGGTATACTTACACAGATAGAGCTATATGGAACTATATGGATAAAAATTCATACACACAGAGCAATCATTCTTAATTTAACTGAATTATTTGCATGAATAAAAACCGATTTTTTTAAAATCAAATGGTATTTTTGTGTCCAGAGTAATAATAATTGTTGCAAGTCATAATTTTTACAATTTTGTACAGGGTGGGTCAAATTGGACGCTTTTAATGGAAAACACCCTTTTCTATTATAGGAGATAGACGAAAACTAATATCAGTGTCTGGAGCTCAATTTTTATCAAAAGCATGATGATGAAAATCGCACGTCGATATCTGTTACCGTTTATGAGTTACAGGGTGTTTATAAAAATGTGCATTTTTAACAAATCGCTGTAACTTTTTTGCTATGGAAAATTTTGTATTTTTGTGAAAACATTTCCAAAGCACCTTTTTACGTAGAATTTAATAGTTTAAGTATAATTTTTTTAAAATTAATAATTTAAGAGTTATCAACAGAAAATTTGATTTTTATATGGGACACCCTGAATATTTTTTTAGAATTTAAAATTGCCTTACGGCTCGATTCCTCTTCGAGATACAGAGTCCATAGGCACTAAGTGCGGCGGCCTTGACGACCAACGGCTGGGATCATGGTTAGCTAATCAATTATTCTCGAAATTGGCTGAAAAAGTTAGCTGATAACTTCAGCGTTCTGAGGCGGTGCCTCGTCTGGCGGGAAAAATATGTTTTCGAGTTTCATTAGAGGCAGTTCAATGTTCAGCTAATCATCAATAATTGATGATTAGGGGAAGGGGTCCAAAGCCTACTAATGGCTGAAAGTGGCGAATTTTTAAAAATTCTGTATTAAAAAGGGAAATAATATAATAAGATATCAAGTGTGCTATATTTTTGGAAAGGTAATTTTAAGTTCTTTTCATTTAATAAAAAATATACAGGGCGTCCCAAATAAAAAATCAATTTTTCTGTTGATAATTCTTAAATTATTAATTTTAAAAAAATTATAGTTAAACCATTAAATTCTACGTAAAAAGGTGCTTTGGAAATGTTTTCACAAAAATAGAAAATTTTTCATAGCACACAAGTTACGGCGATTTGTTAAAAATGCACATTTTTGAAAACACCACCCCGTAACTCCGAAACGGTAACAGATATCGACATGCGGTTTTTCCCATCATGTTTTTGATAAAAATTGAGCTCCAACCGATATTAGTTTTCGTTTATCTCCTATAGAAAAGTGTGTTTCCTTTTAAAAGCGTCGAATTTGACCCACCCTGTACAATAGGCTGGAGCAAAAACGTTTTTTTTTTATGAAAAAAAACTCATTGACGTGTTCCATGCCTATACAGGGTGTCTCAGATTTTAATCGGGAAAATTTAATAGACGATAGAACTTGCAAAAATAAAACAAAAAGTTCATATCAACTTGTAAGATTTAAAGCTTCCTTTTCGAGATACAGGGTGTTAAAGTTACTTAAAAAAGAAAATTAAGATATTTGATAAACTATTTAATCGATTTTGATATAACTTGACCCGTTTATAATACTTACTATGGGACTTAATTTGATGTAATTAGATTTAAGTTTAATGGCCAGGGGCGGCGGTGGGCATCACTGTTAAATTATTTTAAAGGAAAAAATAGGCACGCCACTGCTTTTTTAGAAATTTAATATTATTTTTGGATTTAGTAATTAAAAATATTATTTTTTTGTCTCTTGACTTTTTTGTCTATCTTGCTTACTTCTTGCGAAAAAAAATAAATTCATTTATTCACTCCACCCTGGATAATAAATTAAATAATAATGGTTAGGTTATAGACAAAAAAGTCAGGAGACAAAAAAATTATATTTTTAGTTACTAAATCCAAAGATAATATTAAACTGCTCAAAAAGCAGTGGCGTGCCTATTTTTTCCTTTAAAATAATTTAACAGTGATGTCCCACCGCCGCCCCTGGCCATTAAACTTAAATCTAATTACATCAAATTAAGTCCCATAGTAAGTATTATAAACGGGTCAAGTTATATCAAAATCGATTAAATAGTTTTTCAAATATCTTAATTTTTTTTTCTTTTTTAAGTAACTTTAACACCACAGAAACTGCTCTGTACCAATTAACGGAGCTAATACAGACAAGTCTGGATAGCAAAGAAACAGCAATTTGTGCCTTCTTGGATATTGCGGGGGCGGTTGACAATATACCACATAAGGTGGTCAGGCGATCTCTAGAAACAAGAGGGGTGAACAGAACTATTATTCGCTGGTTTTGGGAAATGCTGTCAACACGAACAGCAGAGGCTCAGATGGGCACCAAAACTGTAGCTGTTAAAACAACGCAAGGAACTCCACAAGGTGGAGTAACCTCCCCTTTGCTGTGGAGCTTGGTGGTGGATGAACTACTAGATGAATTAACTCTAGCGGGAATACACTGCATTGGGTATGCAGATGACATAGTCATGATCGCTCGGGGGAAACATGAAGGCACCTTGTGTGATATTATCCAAAGAGGACTCCGTATCACTGAGAGATGGTGTAGGACTGTCGGGCTGAGTATCAACTCAGACAAAACCGCGATAGTGCCATTCACCAGAAGGCGAAGTCTGAAAAACTTGAAAAGAATCCAACTAGATGGAAAGGAAATACTGCCAACACAGGAAGTTAAATACCTGGGAATAACCCTGGACAGTAAACTCCTGTGGAACAGGCATATTAAGAACACTACCAGCAAAGCCATAAAGGCTCTCATGATATGCAGAAGACTGGCCGGAAATAGATGGGGCTGCTCCCCTAACATTTTGCGCTGGATGTATACCATGATAGTAAGACCCATGATTACTTATGGAGCAGTTGCCTGGTACACAAAACTAGAGCAACGGACGGCAAGGCTAAACCTATGCAAAGTCCAGAGATTAGCATGTGTTTGCATCACAGGAGCCATGAGAACCTGTCCAACAGCAGCAATGGAGGTCATTCTAGATCTAACACCACTGCACATTGTCATTGGTAGATATGCCAATGCGACAATGATTAGAATGGTCACTAACGGAATTAGTACTGGGAGAATTGTCAGATCAGGGGCTTGGAACACCCTCAAAAAGGAAATACCACTCCTGCAACTCCCAAGAACAATCTTCGGATTGTCACGGGGTTTTTAACAGGACACTGTCTCCTCAATGAACACCTCAGTAGATTGAAACTAAGAAGAAACGGCGAATGCAGATTCTGTGGGGAAGATGGTGAAACACCAGTACACCTCATTTTTTTTTAAAAAAAATCAGAAATAATAAATTCAAGTCAAGATTCAGAATAGAACATTAAACTAACTAAAATTAAACCATCTGTATCCAATTAAATAAAATAAATGGGTATTTGAAATAAATTTGAACAAATTGTTTATAAAACATCGTTTATAAACAGTTAGGATGCTAATGTGACATGCTCAACAACGTTACAAAATAGTCTTTTACGAATAATATATTTATTTTATTTGTAGACAATGGTATGCCCACATTTGGAACCCAAACGTGGGCAGTGATTGTTGAAAATAATGACTGTATATTAGCATCATCAAGTCCAATACCGAATAAGAAGTTTGTTAGAATTAAATTTAAATACCGACGTGTCAGGAATATATTTTAAAAATACCCTGTATATAAATCAAGTTTCATTCTTGATTGTAACAATTTTAGCTGTAGACCCTCTCATATAAATGTAGATGTTAAGTTATAATCACTGCGACTTTATACAGGGTGTTACAAAGTCAAGTCCTCACTTAAATATAAGATTTATTTTTCATATCAACATAGGTCCGATTCTGTTTTGTTTCGTAGCTATAGAGTGCATTTTCTTTTAAATTTCCCTGTATATTTTTCGAAAACTTTTTAGAACTGCCTGTTCACCGCAAATTTTCCCACGGTCTAATTTCTTAATCTCTGATATTACCATAGTTACGGCTTTACTCTATGGTTAGGGCACTAAAAGGGATGCAAATACAGAAAAAATCAGGTGGCTCCCAAAATTTTTTCAAAAAAAATATTTTTTTTTAAATTTTCAACTTTAAATAACTAGGTTGTTTTAGACTTATCTGAAAAATGGTAAAGAAAATATTATGTTTTTTTTATCGAGATCTACCAGTCCTGAAAATATTTGCACTTATTTAAGACCCACTTTGTATATATTATATTAAATACGGGACTGTGCAGAATCAGCCAATCACAAAGCGTCTGACTTATGGTAACTACCCGGCCGGACACTGGCAAGCAGTACTTTTATGAAAAAAACTTTATATTTAACTATTTCATAAAATTTCATTTCCGTCCCACCAATAAAGAAAATTTCATCACATTTTTTAGACCACTGGCTAATTCACTAAATTCACCCTATAACGATTTATTTATTTATTTGCACTTTCTTCCTCTTATATCCTCAAGAAATAAGGTACAAACGGGAATAAAAACCGAAGAATACAGGAAAAAAGTCTTCGTACGGTCAATCCAGTCAGTCACTCACTTCTCGGACTCTACTTCAATCCTTAAGCCGCTTACACACGCTCGCGGAACGCGGTCGTCCGAGGCGCGGCGGTTCCCTTCCCTCCCACCATCCTCCCCAACCATTCACTCCATCTCTTTCCCTTCTATTACCGCTTATTTTCCCTCTCCCTCGCTCTCGTTCCCCGCTGACCGGCCGTTCAACGTTCCCCTACCGCCCCACCGCCATACCGCAGCTTATCTGATCCCAGAGGCCGAAAGTTGTGAAGTCGGCTGCGATTCCACGCTTCTCCAGTCGCGCTTTATCGTTGCCAGGGTGATGATGCGCCGCACGACGCCGACGGAACTACACGAAGTTTGTCGAATCAAAGTGTCAACAGTAAATTTGTCGTTTGTTTCGGTGTTTTCGGGTTAAAAAAGTTGTAAAGTGAATTAAAAAGGAGCTTTTCAGTGTGAAAGTGTCGTTGTTTTTGCGGGAGTTCAGTGATAGTGCTTGTATGTGCAGTGATGTGGCTTTGGTTGTCGTTCAGCGGAGGGTGAAAGGCCCTAGAACGAAGAAAATGAGAGTTGCGAAGAGATTAAGAAGTAGCTCGGTGAGTTTTGTGGTGTTTGGTACTAACATGGAAGGACTAGAGAAGTTGATGTACTACTAACCCTTGATAGAGGTACGTGGTTTTAAAATGAAAGAACCATGTATCTTTTGTGAGCTTTTAGCTGTTTTTTTTGTTCGTGTTTTGCCTGATTTCGTTCAAAGTCTTGAAGTTCTTGGTTTATAATTGATGTACCTATTATGATTTTTAATCTGCTGTGATGTATATCTTCAGTTTCCACCATCTGATTTTATAGGAAGTGTCTGAAATTAGGAAATGCTTTGGTCTTTGGTAATTTCAATGCAAATGGTTTATAACTAAAGTAAAGTCTAGCAATCAGATAGCTCAAATTTTACAGTTTTTTATATATTTTTTATCAAAAATACATATAAATCATTTCTGGCAAAGGTATTTAAATGAACTTTATGGAAAGTTTTCCTCAAAGTAACCAAACGTTTTTTGAGTTGTTCTTGGGTTTTGATTATTATTGTCTTATGCTAATACTTGAATTTTCTAAAATTGTCACTTTGTTGAGTTAAAATTACCTACATACCTACTTACATGAATTTTATGAAGAACTCTTATTCAGTCTACTTGTAGATAGTTAAACGGATCGAAAATTAAGAAATCCTGACTTTGTATTTTCTGATGGTTTTCTTTTATTATTTTTGGGTTTTATACACTTTCCTTTAAAGTACGTTTCTGCAACTTAAAGAATTGTGTATGCTGCAAGCAAATGGCTAAAGTTTTGCTGTTCTTTGATATATTTTATGCTGAAGCTTAGCACTTAAGTACCTACATGATTTCTTACAAAGGGGAATGAACTTTAACGAAGTTTTTAAGAGTTACCAAAGCATGAACTATTTTAAAGACTTTAAAAGTGTAAAAATAAGTTATAAGTTCACAGTTTACAAAAAACTGTATTTTTCATGTTTCTGAGATATTTTTTCTCATATTTGACTTGAATAACCTAATTTAGAGGAAGGAATATGTAGATTTCAGTTTCACCACTATTTATTACTTTATCCAGATTTTTTATGTGGTTTAAAATGAAAGAACCATGTATCTTTTGAGCTTTTTAGCTGTGTTTTTTGTTCATGTTTGGCTTGAGTTGACTCATTTTGTTGCTTAAGTCATAATGAACTTGACTTATAGGAATTGAATTTTTTTTTGATAATACCTATTTTTTCAGTTTTGTCCATCTAATTACATTGCAAGCATATAAAACTTTACCAGAAGGTAAATTTACCAGTTATTGTAAAATTTTCGGTTGTTATGAGATTGCTGCCATTCAGATAGCTGATTTTTAGAATTTTTCGATATATTTTGAGTCGTTTTGAGTTGAAAATATCTGTAAGTTATCTACATCAGCTCTTACAAAGGTAAATGAACTTGGTTGGTACTGGAAGGTTTATAACAAAAAATTATGGATTGTTTAAGGTTTTTAACACAGTTTTTAATATATTATTATATTTTGGCTCTAACTCATATTCTTGAAACCACCTACCATACGATCGAAAAAAAAACGTCGTCAGAGATGGCTGGAGAATATATTTTCATTATATTATAGTTTATCTAAAAGCCACACTTGATTGAGGATCGAAAAAGATCTCGTTGGTAAAATAGCAGTTATGGGAAGGAGTCGTTCGTCTGGCGACCGCCTTTCTAATCCCAGAATAAGCGAAAAAACCAAAAATTTAGGTTTAGCATTGGCAACGTTGCTTTAAATATCAGAAACACATAACCCAACATTTTCAGATTGTTTACAAATTTATTTTAGCAAATTTTCCTCTATTATGCAAAGAATTGGTTAAAAAAGTAACAGAAAATAGCAAAAACCTCATTGTTTATTGAATACCTAACAAAATATGTGCTAGAAAACCTTAAAAATATGAGAAATTAAGAAAAATTCGATGTTGGAATAATTTTTCTTTTTTCTGAAAAACGGTAAGAGACCGCCAGAAAAAAAGTTCAGATTCGTAATCTACGATCTCAAAACAAGGTGTATACATACCAATATTGGTGAAAATCGGACGATTTCCAATTTTCCCAATAATTACCATCACTTGATTTAAATCTCGATTTAAATCATGTTATTGGTCCTTGTATTCTTTAGTCATTGGAAGATACTTTAAAACTAACAATAATAATAAATTAGCTGAAAGTTGATAACAATAAGTATGATTTTCCATTTGGTACAAAATGAAAAATGACTAGTCGTGCCATAAACCAAGCTCCAAATCGACAATGCATGTTATAACTATGTATAAAATACACGTAGATAGCTCTTTATTGGTTAATACTACTATAGATATATCTATAGTAGGTCATCGTCTAACGGCATGGCAGCAAATCTGTTTGAATGAAACGTTGTAGCCATTAGGAAAAAGGAAGAATGGAGAAAAAAATCAAAAGTCCGAAACGGTATATTAAACGGTGGTGTCTATGCGCACGTCGTCGGGATTTTATCTGGGATTGTTTTCACGTCCGGCATTATAATGCGTGTAATTATAGTTGTACAAATAAATATATCGTGGGCTGTAATTATCATAATCAATTAATATGGTGCTAATTTTCGAATTTTACATAAATTACACGATCAATTATTACATAAGCTAATAGTTATTTTTTATACAAGACGATAAAATGGTATTTTATCGTCGACCGAAGAGATTAATTCACGAGGGATAAAATCGCGAGTGAATGAATTTCGGGAGACGATAATGCAATTTTATCGTCGTGTATAAAACAATATTTTTTTCCATAACGAATTACGTTTTAAAAAATATTCAGAAATTACGAGAGAAATTATTATTTCAAGGAATTTGTTACGAGTAGAAAAATATTGTGCTGGGTTGGCGTTGGTTTCTATGTAATTCGACAAATAAATAAAGCTGTCTCTTTAGTTGTCAGTTTTGAGTCAATATTTTTTGATTCTCTTTCGTGTCGATTGCTGATTGAATTGGAGCCAGAAATGGCTCAAAACGAAATAAGTAAATTACCAACAGATATTCAGGCTGAGGCGACAAACGCCATATCCAAACTAGTTCCCTTTAAATCCCGAATAACTTATGAAAAGGAATAAAGTTTTTAAATCCTCGTTGTTAAAGTATCATTTAATCTACCCTTGCGGTTAAAGTACTATTTTATCTACTATTTTTGATAGATATAAGTAAGGCAATTTTAACAGTTGCTATGGAAAAAATAACTATTATTAGTGGCACGAAAATGAAATTTTATGAAATATAGTCTATAAAATGAATAACTTTGAATTTTGACCGTTATTTTTTACCAACATGGCAAATATCAAATCCCTCTGTCCAAAAAGTTACTGATATTCTTTAAAATGAGTGCCTGAACGAATCAGATAGGTAACTCTTTTTACTTTCATGAAATAGAAAAGGAAAATAATAAAACAAGTGACAGTTAATAATAAAACAAGTGACAGTTATAAAACAAGTGACAGTAATAAAACAAGTGACAGACTTCTTGCAAAAATCGACGCGAAATGTCATAATTGACAAAAGTAAAATGTCATCAGCTTTTGACATTTCTAAATATCAGCCCAATGCCGTCTCTAATAGAACAGCCTCGGAGCGAGATTTATGACGTCACGCTAGTTAGATTAATTAGATTAGATAAATATGTTGTAGAATCCATGGAAAACATAATTATTCCTCGTATTTTTGGTTTGTATTTTAAAAATGATATAGTTTACATGAAATATACATAATATACAGTTAATAAATACAATATATATACCTATTTATAGTAATAAATACTTTGGCAAATAAACTATGAACCATACAAATGCAGCAAATGTTTTACAATATACAAATAATGAATAGGTACATAAGATAATGGGTAAAATGTAAAATATATTTTAAATTTTGGGATTTGAAAATCGATCTAATTTAACAAAAAACATTCAATATCTACTAATAGTGATATATTATTATTTGCATTTACAAAATTTATATGTATATTTTGAAAGCATCAATGTTTGAAAAATTTATATTTGCAAATAATACAATATCATAGAAAAAAAGGCGTCAGCGATGGCTATGAAATAAAGATCGCTGTCATTTTATATGTTAAATTATTCTAAAATTTTTGATTTTCTTGGGATTTAGGTTCGGGAAAAACGCTGATTAAGTTTTCATTATTTTTTGGTTTAAAAAAACGTTATAGCTAACGTTTATAGCCTTCATCAGTGTTGTGTCATATGAAAAAAATAGTGTCGAATATAATCCATAAAATTACATATACGAGGAATAATTATGTTTTCCATGTATTCTACAACATATTTATTAATCCGTAGTATCCAACTAGCGTGACGTCACAAAATTCGCTCCGTGGCTGTTCTATTAGAGACGGCATTGCATCAGCATGGCCGCAAGTTGTTAACTTAATAAAATTAACACTAGGAAAGCCCGCGGGAACTGTCAAATTCAAAGTTAATCGTTTCACAGACTATACCTAGATAGTGTGGCTTCACGTTAAATATAACAGTTTTTTTCATAAACCTATCAATGATTTTAATTATTTTTATAAGTGATAAATGTGCTGTTTTGTCAGTATTAAGTCGGACAGTTTGCCAGTGTCCGGCCGGGTAGTTGCCATAAGTCGGACACTTTGTGATTGGCTGATTCTGCACAGTCCGGTAGGTTGTAATAATAATTTTAAAGCAAATTTAATCTTGAACAATATACCATTTTTTGTTGTATGTTATCTATTGAAAAAATCATTTTTAAACCTCGTTTTAAACGGTACCAATGCAGTTCATAAAACCATGCTTCCAATCCATTAGTAAACAGCGTTTTCAATTTTTCTTCTTCTAGATACAATTTTTTCAACTGTATTAAATAATACCTGTTTTTTTTTATTGGAAATCCGCAAACGGCTAAGTTTTCAATCCAGGTAACAATTTTTTCTTCAATTTCTCTGGCTAAAACAAGTGCCGGTTCCATCCGTTTGCGAACGTCGCGTCGCTTATTTGCCTT